AAAGTGGGCTTAAAGAAGTTGTTTGTGCTAGGGGTCTACGCCCCAGACATGTCTAAGCCCACTCATATCCGAGAGCAGTTTTGGGAAATAGTAAGGATGGTATTAATGAAATGTAAGGGAAATGAAAATGTTGTTATGCTAGGAGATTTTAATGGAAGAGTTGGGGTGAGGAGGCTTGGTTATGAAAGGATATTGGGAACGTTTGGTGATGAAAGTATAAATGAGAATGGTGAAAGCCTCCTCACTGTATGTATGGAAAAGAATCTTTTTGTGACGAACACTTTCTTTCGCCACAAGAGGATTCACATGTACACTTGGGAAAGAGGTGATGATAGAAGCATGATAGATTTCATAATTGTGGATGAAAGATTGAGGGGCGCAGTGGTGGATACAAGGGTTTACCGGGGGTCAAACGTAGGAACGGATCATTTTTTGGTTTTATGCCGAATTAATGGTCTATTCAGGCGGTGGCGCCATCGGTCATCTGTATCTACCACTGCGTTACAGCGTATTAGAACAGAAAGATTACAAGATGAAGGTGAGAAAAACAAGTTTAAATGTAGACTGAAAGAAAACGTAAGTGGTTTGGATGAATTATGTATGAATGAGTTAGACTTGGAGAATGTATGGCAAAATGTTAAGAAAGGTTTAGTAGATGCAGCTACCGAAGTATATGGTGTTAGTAAAAGAAAGAATGAAAGGAAAAATAATACGTTATGGTGGGATGATGAGATACGTACGGAAGTTGAAGCAAAGAAGAGAGCATGGCTAGATTTACTAGCAACTAAGGCTGGTAATTCTAGCGGGACGAATGATGATTTTGAAAGAAAAAAGGCAGTCTTTAGACATCTAAATAAAAGAGTAAAAGAAGTAGTTGAAAGGAAAAAGCAAGAAAGAACGGATAAGAATGATAGAAGAATATCGGATAACTTCCAGGCAAATATTAAAATGTTCTGCAAACTCGTAAGAACTGCCAGGGGATGTTCAAAACAGCCTATAATGAATGCTATAAGAGATGAGAATGGCTATATTCTGAATGATGAAGTTTTGAGTTTAAAGAGATGGAAGGAATATTTTGAAAGCATGTTTATGAGTGAGGAGACAACGTATGAACTGAATGAAATAGGAACTCCGAAAGAAGAGGAAGGAGGTAGCGAGATAAGTATAGATGAAATAATGAAAGCAATGAAAAGCATGAAAGCAGGTAAGGCTGCCGGATATGATAGAGTTTCACTCGAAATGCTAAGGGCTGGAGAGGAAGTGGTGGCAGGCCTGCTGCACACCTTGTTTAATTTATGCTGGGAACTGAAGCGGGTACCGGGAGACTGGTGCAAAGCCGTGATAGTCCCAGTATATAAGGGAAAAGGGTCGCAGCAGGACTGTAAAAACTACCGCGGTATCAGCCTTCTTAGCATCGTGGGAAAACTGTATGCCAAGGTACTAATTGAAAGGGTCATGAAAGAAACCGATGGAAAAATTTGGGATGTGCAAGCGGGATTTAGAAAGGGAATGGGATGTACAGATCAATTCTTCTCCATGCGCATGATCGCGGAGAAGTTTTTGGCCAAAAACCAAAAGGTTTTTTGTGCGTTCATGGACTTGGAAAAGGCCTATGACAGAGTGGATAGGAATGTGCTATGGCAAACACTGAACTCATTTGGGTTGAGCGCTGGCTTGATACAGGCATTGGAATGTCTTTAAAGGGACTCTAGTGCTTGTGTTAGGATCAACGGGGTCTACTCGGACTGGTTTGGCATCCATAAAGGTGTCAGACAGGGCTGTGTGGCTTCCCCGTGGTTGTTCAACCTATTAATGGACAGTTGTTTGCAAAATTTGAAAGTTGAAGAATGCGGATTAAGAATGGGTGAGTTAACCATCAAATGCCTTTTGTACGCCGATGATCAAGTTATTCTTGCGTCGTCGGCGGCTGAGTTGCAAATGATGGTTACATTAATAATAATAATAATAATTTCTTTATTTGCTTAAAACATGGTGTTTGTAGGTGGTACAGTAAAATAAGTTCACATGTTTTGCTTATAATTAGCATGCAAATTTAAGATTATATTCAGGTAACATTTATTTCAAAAGGGGTCAAATATATTCATTAAAGCAATGTCAACAAAACCATAATTATTAAAGCTTAATGTCAATAAATTCTTCAATGTCATACACTTTAAGTTCAATAAGCCACTTATAGAGTCTCGATTTGAATAAATTCATTTTGAGGTTTTTGATGTCATTGGGGATCTTATTATATACCTTAACACACATTGCTAAACAACTTTTTCTGAATTTAGCAGATCTTGGAATGACGCTTAATACTAATCGCTCCGGATTTCTTTTCCATCGAGAGTTTATATCTCTGGCTTTCTGAAAGAGCTCAGTATGGCGTTTTACAAAACAACTCATTTCAAAGATGTACAGTGCTGGCAAAGGAAGTAAGCCCAGGCTCCAAAATGCTGCTCTACAGGACTCGCCCGGTAGAATCCCACATATGGCTCTGATGCATTTTTTTTGCGCTATAAATACCTTTTGTCTCTCAGTACTATTGCCCCATATCATCACACCATAACGTAGAATGGAGGCTACATACGCGTGGTAAGTGGTAATGGCTGTTTGCAAGTTAGTTACGCTGCTTGTTTTATAAAGAGCATAAACAAAGCTGTTAATACGCTTGCATAAGGCCTCAATGTGTAATTTCCAGTTAAGATCTTGGTCTATCGTTATACCTAAGAACTTAGTATGTGTAATTTCTTTTATCTTTTCAATATCAATGTTAAAATTGTATTTATCATATTTGGATTTATTAAATTGAATGAAATTTGATTTATCTAAATTTAGTTTTAGATTATTTTCCTCTAGCCATTTAATAATGTTGTCAATAGTATTATTAATCTCAATTTCGTGGTCATGTATTGAATTATATTTATTTTTTTCTGATGTCACAATTATTGATATGTCATCGGCAAACAAGATACATTTATGACCAGTAACTTTGGTTATGTCATTTATGTACAATATAAACATAAGTGGACCTAGGACACTTCCTTGAGGGATACCACAGGAGTTATTTTTTAGGGTAGAAGAACATGTCACCAGTTCGCTATTTATGATTTTGTTAACAGTGACGCGCTGACATCGATTCTTCAAGTAGGATGATAGCCATTGTAGTGTAGGTCCTCTTATACCAATCGTTTCAAGTTTATTTAATAAGAGGTCGTGGTCTACAAAATCAAATGCCTTGTACAAGTCAAAAAATAGACCTGTTGTTAAATAACCTTCATTCAATTTTGTGAGTATTGCTTGTACAAGAGTAAATGTTGCTAAAGTTGTCGACTTATCTTTTTGGAAACCGAATTGATCCTTACTAATGATGTTGTATGCGTTGCAATAATTAAGTATTCTCAGGTGCATACATTTCTCAAACACCTTCGATAGAATAGGTATAAGAGTAATTGGGCGATAATTGTTGACGTCATTTTTTTTACCCTTTTTGTACAATGGTTTGACAACTGATTGTTTTAATGCTTCCGGAAACGTACCAGATGAAAATGATAGATTAATTAAATACGTTAATATAGGCACTAGTTCATCATTACACATTTTAATTATTCTGGTACTAATTCCATCAAAGCCTTCTGAGTTGGTGTTGTTCAAACCCATAATTTCTTTTTTTACTTCTTCTTTTGAAGTCGGAAGAAGAAACATCGTGTTTGGTATAAGTTTGCTTTTAGCAGTTGTTTTTTGTATATTATTTGTCGTCAGGTTTTTTGTATTTGTCAATTCAATAAAATGTTCATTAAAAGCTGAGGCTATGTCAAAAGGATGTGTCAATTGTTTTTTGTTTAAACTTATTTCACTTATAATATTGTCACATTTTAAACCACCAATTTCCTTTTTTATTACATTCCATGTCGCTTTGCATTTGTTTTTACTTTTATATATATATTTTATATGTGAATTCCTTTTGGAGGTAATAATACATTTTTTTAATACTTTCGAGTAATTTATATATTTGATTTTATTGATTGCTGTTTTATTTTTATAATATTTTTATAATATTTATACCTTAGTGACCGTTTAGTTTTACAGCTTGTTCTTAGGCCTTTGGTAATCCAATTTTGAATGAACAATTTTTAATGAACAGATCATTAAAAGAAAGGGGTATGAAAGTGAACGCAAGTAAGACAAAAATTATGGTTTTTGAAAGAGATGAAAGTAAAACGATATGTGAAATAAGAATAGAAGGGGAGTTGATCGAGCAAGTAGATGAGTTTGTATATTTGGGTTGCGTATTTAGCAGGGATGGGAGATATGATAAGGATATAGAACGACGAGTGAACGCAGGAAACAGAGTAAATGGAGCCCTGCACTCTATTGTGAAGAGTCAAAATGTGTCGAAAAAGGCACGTATGGCAATTCACAATGCTGTGTTGGTCTCTACTTTAACGTATGGTAGTGAAAGTTGGGTGTGGCAGAAGAAGCACGAGAGTAGAATAAATGCAGTAGAAATGCGGTCGTTAAGGAGTATGTTAGGGCTGAATCTGAATGACAGAGTGAAAAATTGTGTGATAAGAGAAGAGTGTGGTTTGCAAGATGATGTTGTGACCAGAATTAAGAAAGGAATGCTTCGGTGGTTTGGTCATGTGGAAAGAATGGATGAGGAAAGAGTGACAAAGAAAATTTATGTTGCAGAAGTGAATGGCAGAGCATGAAGCAGAAGCATGTCGGAAAGGGACGTCCTAGGCGAAAATTTATCGACCAAATTGGCGATTTATTGAAAACGGGCCAAATTAGGAGTACCCTTAACCGACGAGCATGCATGCGTAGGTGTATGGATGTGAAGGAGGCGAGAGAGGTGTGTCAGGATCGTGCCAAATGGAAGTCTGTAGTCTCTGCCTACCCCTCTGGGTGACAAGCGTGAGTGTTTATGTATGTTTATGTATTTCTGAATGATACTGGTGTACTATTATTGATGAGTATGTCTGGTTGTGTTGCAGAGGCGGACCCGCGGCTGGACGTGACGTTCGCGACGTTCCGCGCGTTCAACCGCTCGCTGCGCTGGCGCTGTGCGCCGGGCGCGCCCGCCGACCTGCGCGTGTCGCCCGACTCCTCCTGGCCCGACCGCGTCTATTACCACTCTTTTACACACGCCGGTCAGTGCACTCTTCTCTTCTCTTCTTTTCTGACTTTATACACCCACTAAGGTTTACGCCTGTATCTTGAATTTAGTTTACATACATACATCTCACTAGAGCAAACAAAACATCCATACCCGGAACAGTTATTTATAGGTAAGATCACTGTCATAGTATTACTTCATCGTCATCGTCTTCGTCATATTCATCTCCATCATCATCATCATCGTGATCATTATTATAACCGTCATCGTTATGGTCATCGGCATCAACATAACATCTTTGTCTTCATCGTCACCGTGATCGCAAAAGGTCATCGCATCGTTATTTATCGTCGTCGGAATCGTCTTCGGCATCGACATAACATCATCAACTTCATAGTCTCCGTCACTGTCGTTATTACCATCATCATCATCGTCATCATTATCGTCATCGTAAACGCCATGGTAATCAGCATCGTCATTGTCACGCCTTTATAATAATACTTGTTCCGTGCGGGATTAGAACCCACGGCCATCAGGGCCGCAACACATTGCAAACCCACTGCGCCACAGAACCCTTATAAACTTCCCTCACTTAAGAAATACCACTAAACACACTTCTAAGCCACCTGTATTCGTCAACTTCCTGCATGTCCTACCAAGTCATCACTGTATCATACATGTTCTTCTTTTTCAAACCGTAAAGCTAAACTACTAGACAAGATCCTCCCTTTTGTAGGAAATATTTCCCTTAATCGTCTTTGTTAACGAGCGAATTGACCATCGGCTCCACAAGAAGTGGACCTGGTCGTGCCCCGACGGTTCAACAAAAAATGAGATTGACTTCATTATGACGACCATACGCCAACTGTTCAGTGATGTCTCACTGATCGCAAGGGTGAAAACTGGCAGAGATCACCGAATGGTTAGAGGCACACTGAACCTAAACGTTAAGTTGGAGAGGTCTCGTCTAATGAAGTCAACGCTCCGTCCCCCTCGTGCCCCGATTCATAATCCCGAAACCTTTCAGCTCGAGTTACGTAACCGCTTTCAGTGCCTGGAAGATTGCAATGCAGTGGACGATATGAATGACAAGCTCGTGGAAACTGTCCATGCGGTCGGAGCTAAGTTCTGCAAGACCCGCCACAGAAGAACACAAAACTCTCCGATCACACTCTTAATCTAATAGATGTTAGACGGGAGATGAGGCTGCAATCGTCAACAGATTTGACAGCATACAGGCAACTGAACAGACAGATCTCCAAATGCATGCGGCGAGACTTATGCAAATTTAATACTGCTCGTATTAAAGAAGCGATCGAGCGGAACCAGGGCTCCAAAGTCTTTGCCAGAGATCTGTCTGCCAGAAAGAGCCAACTGTCAAAGCTGAAGACTGAGTGTGGCAGCATTGTTTCCGGGAAACCTGAGATTTTGAGTGAGATTGAGAGGTTCTATGGGCAGCTATATACATCATCGTTGGAAACTTCATTATGACGACCAGACGCCACACGCAAAGTAACGATCCAAGAGCAAGTCTTATCCGACACTATTCCGATGATATCCCGGACGTCAGTCTGAGCGAGAGTAGAATGGCTCTCCAGCACCTTAAAAACGGCAGGGCCCCAGGCGAGGATGGAATTACAGCGAAGCTTCTGAAAGCGGGTGGAACACCGGTACTTGAAGTCCTTCAGAAGCTCTTCAATTCCGTCCTCCATGGTGGCACTACTCCGGAGGCGTGGAGCAGAAGTGCGGTGGTTTTGTTCTTTAAGAAAGGCGACAACGCTCTCTTGAAGAACTACAGACCGATTTCCCTTCTGAGCCGCGTCAACGTGCTGTTTTCGAGAGTCATTAGGAATCGTCTCGCACGCAAACTCGACGACTTCCAGCCTCCCGAACAAGCCGGTTTCCGAAAAGGCTTCAGTACCATAGACCACATACATACCCTGCGGCAGATTGTACAGAAGACCGAAGAGTACAATCTGCCACTGTACCTGGCGTATGTGGATTATGAAAAAGCCTTTAATTCCGTCGAAATTTGGGCGGTGCTACAGTCCCTTCAGCGGTGCCAAGTTGACTGTCGGTATATCGAAGTGCTGAAGTGTTTGTACAGTAGGGCTACGATGGCTATCCGAGTACAGAACCAGAGTTCGAAACCTATCAAACTGCAGTGAGGTGTAAGACAGGGTGACGTTATATCCCCGAAACTCTTCACCGCTGCATTGGAAGACGTTTTCAAGCTACTGGACTGGAAAGGATACGGTATTAACATCAATGGCGAGTACATCACTCACCTTCAATTTGCCGACGATATAGTCCTTATGGCAGAATCGCTGGAGGATTTAAGAATTATGCTCAATGACCTCAATAGTGCCTCTAGTGTCTTAAGATGAACGTGGACAAAACAAAGATCATGTTTAATGTCCATGTCACACCAATGCCGGTAGTTGTTGGGAGCACTAAGCTCGAAGTTGTTGACGAGTACGTTTACCTGGGACAAATAGTCCGACTAGGTAAGTCCAACTTCGACCGAGAGGTCAATCGACGGATTCAACTCGGCTGGGCAGCGTTCGGGAAATTACGACACATCTTCTCGTCAGGTATATCTCAATCTCTGAAAACTAAAGTGTACAACCAGTGCGTGTTGCCAGTGATGACTTACGGATCTGAGACGTGGTCCTTCACTGCTGGCCGTATGAGGACGCTCAAGGTCACTCAGCGAGCTATGGAGAGGGCTATGCTCGGAGTTTCTCTGCGTGATATACTCAGAAATGAGGATATCCGCAGTAAAACCAGAGTGACCGACATAGCCCAACGAATTAGTAAGCTGAAGTGGCAATGGGCCGGCCATATAGCTCGAAGAACCGATAACCGATGGGGAAGAAAGGTTCTCGAGTGGCAACCTCGTACCGGTAGGCGTAGTGTAGGGCGACCCCCCACTAGATGGAGTGACGACCTGGTAAGACATGCAGGAAGTCGATGGATGCAGACGTCTTAGGACCGTGCTTTGTGGCATTACTTGGGGAAGGCCTATGTTCAGCAGTGGACTTGTGAAGGGCTGTAATGATGATGATGATGATGAATTAACCACCAAAGTACCAGATCTTTCAAACCTGCTTCCCTTCGCCAGTCCTTTGACTTAAACAAGATAGTTATACAGTAAAAGCTCTTTATTCGCGTTTTCACTATTCGCGGATTAAAGAAATGCGACAAAATTCCTATATTCGCGGTTAATGATTTCTTTATTCGCGGATCTAATCGGTACATACATATTAATAAAAAGGATTTCAATAGGTATCACACTCAATATCTTAAGTAAAGGCGTCGTTAAATGGACTAATAAAAAAGTAAAATAGACCTTACAACTCCACGCCTAAAGTATGTTATTAAATGATATCGCCGCTGTAGAGTTTCGGCGTTTGACTTAAGCCGCTTTCGCCGCGATCAGTGTTTTTGAGAATGTAAACAATCAGAATGAAAACAACCTTATCACTAAATGCATATGTGTATTTTTAACCTTTTGAGCGCCAAATTCTCCTATATTTGAACAGCACCTGCGGGCTCTGAGCGCCAACGACGTCTATAGTTGACAAAAAGCCCGGCCCACAAAAATATGAAATATAGACATTGGAAAATTATTACTGGTATTTTTATTCTACACTCCTCAAAAAAGAATAACCCAGCAACATGTGAGTATAAAAAACAAGTCTCCTGGAGCCGCAAGTACTAAGAAACATTGAACTAAAAAAAATGGATTTTCATCTAAGCAAATACTATGTCCAGCACGCCAAAGTCTTCTATGTTTGACCGCTAGTGTTGCAATGCCTTAGGCATAGATTTATTGAAAACTATTCAAAATTAAACGCATACGTGTTATTTTTTAAATTATTATTGATATTTGAATAAAACAAAATGTAAGAAACATAAAACTTTCATCGGCTACATAAATAAAAGAAAATTTCATCAAATCAACTTCGCATAATAAATCTAATATCTCAAATCTGGCGCATCCTTAGCGCGTCATCGATTATCAGTTCATTGGGCGCCGTGGTCAAGGATAGACGACACCCTGATGACGTCATAAACGAATAGCGGAAAAAGTAGTGCAGGGCAACATGAACGATTCCTCAGAACTCATTCGCATTTTGGAAAATGTCGATGATGATGAATTTTTTTTATTTTAATAATATAAAATTACAAATAATAAACGTTTATTTTTTTCTTAAGGTATGAAGACCAATTTTACATTTTGTGTTGTGCGATTTTCTTTCTCAATCTATTGTATTGACTGAAACCTCTATTATATTTATTTGCTGATGATATTTCCATTCTTATTCCGCATAGAAAAGACCAGAATTTAAATAATAAATTGAATCAAGTATTGAACCAGGTTACAAGTTGGCTGACACATCACAACCTAGTGATTAATTTTAATAAAACCAAAATTATGCAATTCCGACCAATTCAAAAATCACCACTAAATATCGCTTTTACTTATAATAATATACCTATAGGAACTGTTGACAACTTCAACTAAGAACTGGCGACACTGCATTCAGCTACTATGTTCCATTCAACTGCGGTGCATACACCGCACTTTAATCAGTCACTTGCTAGGCGCTTGTAGAGTTGACACGTGTTGTGTTGATTTAAAAAACCTTACAACTTCAAAAAGTTTAAAATTTTGACTTTGACCTCTATTTATATTTATATTTGGAAAACTAAGTGAAACAAATTACAAATACTCAATTAGACCAAATAAAAATAGGTTACTATTGCCAAAATCTACTCTTGCTTTGCATAGCTCTAGTCCCTACTGTATGACAGTTAAAATTTTTAATAACCTTCCAAATGACATAAAAAATTTAACGAATAACTACATTATTTTTATCCAAATTAAATTTATATTTAATTGAAAAATGTTTTTATAATTTAAATGAATATTTTGATACAAATATTATTTAATTTGTGTTGCCAACTTCGGCCTGTGGCTATCTAATTTAATTTAGTTTTTTTTATTCAATTATTATTTTTTAATTAATTTTATTTTTATTTATAATAATAATAATTATTTTTTACTTGATATTATTGTGGCCGTGGTAGGAAAAGGGGAGATCTCCCGCCGGGCAAGGTGTTCTGCCCGGGGAGCGGCCGACACTCCAAGTGATAGTTCGGAGAAGTTCTATATATACTGTCTATGATTCGGAATGTTAATAGCGTGATTTAGACTTCGGTGTATTTCGATTGTGGCGCGACGACAGCGCCGCTACATCACCCCCCTGCTCAGACCGGAGGTCGATATTGCAGCCTCGTTGCCGACGAATGTGCAAGTGCCAGGAGATTGCCTTGTAGTCTGCGGTGAGTCGAGAAAAAGGCAAGTAATCTGCGAGAGTGCCGTGGAGCAGAGGCGAGCAGTAAGGCTCAGAGCCGTGCCGAACACTGTATGGCGCAGAGAGTAGCTTGAAGGAACAGGAAGCATTATTATTCCAGTGCTGCGATGAACCTTGTGAAGCTAGATGGCTTGCAGGATATGAAGACTGCAGACAATATCTGCTCGGGAGCGAATGGGTGGGGTAATCTATGACGATGATGAAGCTTGAAGTTTCCGAAGGTTGTCGGTTGCGTGTATTCAAGATCACGTCGGATGGTCACCACTGTGGGCGTGGTAGGAAAAGGGGAGATCTCCCGCCGGGCAAGGTGTTCTGCCCGGGGAGCGGCCGACACTCCAAGTGATAGTTCGGAGAAGTTCTATATATACTGTCTATGATTCGGAATGTTAATAGCGTGATTTAGACTTCGGTGTATTTCGATTGTGGCGCGACGACAGCGCCGCTACATTATGATTAATAATTTATTTAAATTTACAGAATTTTAAAATAATATAATCTAATAATGTAATTTATTAATGAAATCTAATATTGAAGTTTATAAAATAATATTTAATATTTTTATAATTGCTACGCCCAAACTAGATTCAAATGCGGACTATTTTTTTTAAAACATCACATCTGTTGTTACCATTTGATTGCAATAAAGATTATGATTATCTCAAAATCATCTGGTAAGTCATCTGATAAGATAAGATAAGAGAGAGATAAGAGCGTAAGACTTTTCTTCTGTGCTTCACTTGGCCTACGCCTCCCCCGACACATAAAATCAATGTGTTGTGTATCGAAATCGATACACAACGTGCGACACGGCTACATCTCTAAGAAAGTTTCAAAAAGGAAGGTCAGCTACGCCGTTGTCGTCCAGTCGTGACAGTGACGTCATCACGATGAAGATTAGTGTTGTGGTTTACTACTATTTTATTGTTACTGTTTGTTTTTATTTATGTACAAAGTACATATATAAAAAGAGTGGACCACAGTACAAGATTAAATAAAACATACCAGATTATAAAGAGTCATTTATTGCATAAAAACCAACACAATCAAGTTATTTTGTGTTATCGATATATCAACTTTTGGAAACACTATTTTTTTCGTAGGTATTTTTGTTTACTTTTCGCTTTGGCGTACAGGACACGGTAGTGCGTTTTTGGCGTAGCGCTCAAAAGGTTAAATGCTGCCACATATTGGACGTTCCGTCCTTTGGTAAGAGTCGCTTTGTGTGTTTTATTGTTTCATCTTTCCATTCGTTATAAAAATTATGATGGAGTAACACATCTCTACCGCTATCTTCCTAATTTGTAATGTGGGTTTAAAAAAATGAAAAGCAAGTTTTAACAAGCACTGGAATTGTCATTTAATTTGAAAAATCTTAGCTAAGGTTTAAGAATGGCGAATGAGTTTTGTGATTTCTTTAATAAATTGCGAATGCCACTGCTGAATATCGGTCTGAATTGAAGCTGCTTTTAAAAACCAAGCAAGAAAAAATTACAAATTTTTTTAAATCATTGCCTAGGCCTGAAGAAAATTTTCAATTAAATAGATTTTTTATATATATGTTTCTTATTTTGTCACCTAGGAACGTATATATGATCCCACATAAACTGCCATTCCATATTCACGGTTTTTGTACTCGTGGCTTATTTAAGGAACATATACCCCGCGAATAAAGAGCTTTTACTGTACCGATATTATACCATAATCGCCTCTTACAACAGCCGCGCAGTGAAATGAGTTTTGAATTACTTTAAGAGATCGCTTAAATGGACCACAGCCGGTATATCCAATAATACAGGCTCTCTTTTATCCTTCAAACCGCAACAGACTTCTAGACAGAAAAATAACTTACCTACAAATGAAATATTTTGTTTGTTTTTACTACTGGTTTTACACAAGGCTCACATTTAGGCCCACTTTTACATAACGTTCATAAACAGTCTACAACTGGAAACCGATCTAAGACAAATTAATCAGATGTGTTGTACCTTAAACGCTGCGTCCTGTCATTGCTCTTTTTCAACTATTTCAAACATTATCGATCAAAAATTTAATTTAGATAAATCGATCTTGAAATCTTCTGGAATGCTAGTGGTAAAATTAAAAAAAAAATTGTACAACCCACTTGGATATAAATAAATGAGAGCATCAATGTACTCGAAGTCAATGAAATACGCATTATTAAGGATAACTCAAAAGGTCTGATTGATCCACCACCGAGAAGCACCAGCTTTCAAATAAAAAAAGTATCATCAAAATCGGTTCACCCAAAAAAAAGTTCGGAGGTAACATACAGTCGAATTGAGTACCTCCTCCTTGAGACTTATGACGTTCACGTCCTACAGTGTCGTGGCGCACGTGGGTTCATCCGACCTTGAACATAACCATGATAGGTGTAACACAGAGCTATAAACTCACACTGGTGGGGCACCAATTACAATATAATCAAGCCTATTAGAATTTTCCAAACAAACTGTTAGAATTTTTGCACAAACATTGTTAAAACAAAGCGCTATGATACTGGTACTCAGACCAGTAGGCCACGTAGTTGAATTGGTATGTACGCGAAGATGTTCTCTGTGTGAACAGACATGGGCGGACGCATCTTCGTGGTGGACAAGCACCGCCGCAACATCGCTCGCAGCACCGCGCACCGGGCGAGCCCGCAGGCCGCAGTACTCGCGCCAGTACTCGCACTCGCACTCGCTACAGTGACCTACACCAGCTGCCACTAGTGCTCTTTTATATTATGTTACCGCTTCACATCAAACTAGTGGTCGGACGCTCAGGACACTGTTAACTTAAGCTGTGAAAGCGCTGCATTCTGAGCTAAAAATATATGTTTGACTGTTAAACTCATGATATATAGTATAAATATATAGAAATATACCAGATTGTCAGACATGTTATACTTTAGTGAAATTGTACGTTTTTTTTATTTAACATACTTTTCGGGATTTCCCTGAATTTTAAAAATGGTTACGTCACCATTTCCACAGAATAGTATATTTAAGTAAAAGTATTTATTAAGCAACATATGTGCTCTCTCTTAAATATACATTCAACGATGCTTCTACGAAAGCGAGCACTGCCACTGTTCCGTCCATTTTTAACTTAATGTTACCTGATGTGTTCGACTTTATTTTTTAAAACTGTTGTATACTCAAAGCTTTTTATATTTTATATACATGTAATCAGATCTCTTCTATACATTTTTGTAAATAAGCTATGTTTGTTGTTTTATAAAAATTACGAAATATAGCTATGAAATCACAATTTGTTTTGTTATTTTCAATATTCCGTCTTATTTTTTTTATTCTAAGAACCTTTCTTGGAAAGCTACTTTTTTTGTCCAACGCATGCGGCGTACTCCACTAGCGGCGGATGCCACTTACCGATTCCGAGAGGACCCTGTCGACACCAAGCCATCTGGTGGGGATGATGGATGCGGGGGACTGCTAGGTGATCGTGCAGTACCTCGCGCTCGGTTGACGGCCCGCATGCAGCCGTGTCCAGCGCCAGCTCCAGACGCGCCTCGGCGACACCCAGGCAGCAGCCCTATACGTTCTCTTTTATTATTCATCATTCCTTTGTGGGCGTCAATCAACGGGAGACGCCCAGCACCGTTTTATTGTACGGCCGTAAGCACAAACGAGCCTTTGCATCTTCAGTTCTGCCGAGGCACGGCGCTCATATCATACCTCTTGGCAAGGTGCTGACTGACTGCACTGACGTAGCAGTTTTGTCACTTCACTTTTAAGTCAGCTGGCGATGGGGTCGTCACTTCCCCCTTCCTCCCACGCCTTTATTATTAATATGATTTAGCAACAAGACGAATTAAAGCGTATGATTTGGCTAATTAAGATTTTTGGAGGTCTAGCCCCGACTGGTTTGAACAAATACAGATAGAAAAGGACACATTGGAATTTACTTAAACAGAGTTAGCAATCAAGAATACATTTCATAGTTATATCGAAGAAGAACCGATTTGGCAAAGATTTTCATTGTTATCAAAAATGAAAAGAGTTTTAGCTTAGCACATTGCAGAAGGTTATTGCTAAGCAAACGGAAAAAGGAAAAATGTTTAACAGTTGATTAAATGAATTTAATTGAAACAAAATGCGTTAAATTGCTTCAAGGACAAATTTATAGACAAGAAATTGAGTGCTTAGAAAGGGACGGAAGAGTGTGAAATGGAAGCTCATTGGCAAATTTAACACCCTTCTTGGATAAGAATGGATTGTTGAGGGTTGCAGGTCGTTCAAATAATGCAGAGTATTTAACGACGAATACTCATCTCAGCAAAGCAACATGTTACCAGACTTACATATAATGAACGACGGTCATGAAAAACCTTACACAGGGGCGTACTGCAAACGATAGCCTTTACAAGATACAAGTTCTGGGTTGTGCAGCTCAAGTCAGTTGTGAGAGGATTTATTCGTAACTGTACAACAAGCATAAGAGACAAAACAACAACTCATAGGACGATCATTTGCGTCGAGGGTTACTCCATCTCGTGCATTCTCCAGCAGTGGTGTGGATTATGCGGGCCCTATACAAGTAAGGACATCAAAGGGTGGAGGTCATAAGCACGAACTAATAAGAGTACGTCATAAGTCTTCAAAAGATTACATTTGTCTTTTCGTGTGTATGTCGACTAAGAGAGTACATTTGAAATGTGTCACCGACCTTACTTCGCAAGCATGGAAGCTTTGTCGCTAGACGAACTATTGTTTACATTTGTGGAGTAACAATTGTTCGGGAGTTTACGAGAATTTTAAAATAATGCAACTTGAATGTGGTGTTGGACGATTGTATTGATCTCACAACAGCTGAGAGGGTAATGATATATTACAAAGACAAAGACCTGTTTTAAAATTAACGTTAAGTACGGACCTAATTACTATAAGTACGTTGTTTAACTCTTTGCTCAGAAAGAATGCGCAGGCGCTCCAACATGCCCCCGGGCGTTGAAATCTTTGATTTCAACCAGAATTAAATGACACCGGTAATGGGCAAATCCGGTTAAATGCCCTCTTGATAATCCCAGTAGAAGTTCTGATGTCTGCAACTCGAACAATGCCATCGGCTCCTGGGTGAATTGCAACGACTCTTCCCAGCTTCCATTTCAGCGGTTGAAGGTTGTCTTACGTACCGGTTGTCTAAGGTACCGTACGCATTGCTAGCACGCGGCTCGTTGAGACGGTTTTTAGAAATTGCTCGAGTGTTTACAGAATGCTTAATCGGGATTTTTAGCGATTCATTAAAAAATTGTTCTTTTAATAAAATATTTTGTACTTGTATATGTATTGGTAAAATTTTACAATGTTTAAAGAGACCATTAACGTCATCCCTGAATTTATTTTTTATTTTATTTGGAACTATAGTATTGAGTATTCTTACTTGTAAACTATGGATCTGGTCAAGATATGTTTTGTAAGTTCGGCCGTAGCTACTTAGCCCGTATTGAATGTGCGACTCCGCAAGTGCATTATATAACATTAACTTTATTTTAAAAGGAATGCGATTATTGAGAATAGTGATATTTGCTAAAAACTGTCTTAGTTTAGTACATACACGGTCAATATGCTGGCTCCAATTTAATTTACGGTCAATAACTAGTCCGAGATACGTTTGTGTGTCAACTATCTCGATTGCTGGGCAGCAGCATTCAGCAGCGCGGTTATTATGTAAGCAGATGTGGTTGGGTGCAACAATTTTTTTTATTGAAGCTGGTTTTAGGTATGAAGATTTAATTACTAACAACTTAGTTTTACTATCATTAAGGACAAGCCCAGCATCATGGCACCACCTTGATAGGATATCTAGGTCAGACTGCAAAAGGTCACATGCCTTTTGTGGATTTTTATCACCGATTACAAGACAAGTGTCATCTGCAAACTGGTAGCATGTGAAATTGACGGTGTAGTTGCCCATGTCATTGACGTAGGACAAAAAGTGCAAGGGTCCTAGTACCGAACCGTGTGCTGTTCCCTCTGTTATCAACATCGGCTCGCTGTAGTTATTTTTAATTTTCACAAACGATTTTCGGTTATTCCAGAAATTATTGCACCAATTAAGTAAGGGGCCACGTATACCACATTTGTCTAATCTGTCCACTGGCTGTTCATGTAACAAAGTGTCAAAAGCACGTGAGAAGTCGATAAATAGGGCAAGCACCTGTCTTTTTTCATTTAGATGACTATTCACTTCATTAGTAAATTTTGATAAGAGTCCTGTTGTACTTTTTCCTGATTGAAAACCAAATTGATACGGGCTTATTACAGTGTTATTCCTATAAATTTTGTGTATTTGATCGCTTATGAATTTTTCAACAATTTTATCGATTGATGAAAGTAATGTAATTGGGCGATAGTTCGAGTAGTCATCACGTTTTCCTTTCTTATGTACGGGTCTGACACAGCCTTCTTTCAATTTATCAGGATACAAACCACTTTTAATGCTACTGTTAATTAGGTCAGAGATAGTTGGGGAAATATGTTCGCCTATCATTTTAATGTCAGCAATCGCAATATTGTCAGCACCTGGTGCCTTTCTTGAGTTAAGATTTTTAATAATTTTATGAATACTACAGGGGGTCGCTTTCCGAAAAAATATACTGGAGTCTAAAATTTTATATGTATTTGTAGCAGCCAGATTAATCAAACCGAAACGGGAATAAATAATATATACTCCGCTGCTACCATAACGCGGAAGGCGAGAATAAATAAAAAAACATTTTATTTCCTAATTATTCTTGGCTACTGAGATACTGCGGACTGTATATAGATAATTTGACGTTCTTATAAAGAAACAAGAAGCAGCCGCAAATATCATTCAGCGCCACACCGACTTCACACGCCGCTATCGTCACGTATCCGTCGACCAATGGTGAGCCGTTTCTCCAACGCCGCAGTTCGTTTCCTCTTGCTGTTCCGGAGCTGTATTTCACACCGCCGCCGCCCGCCGACTACGCGTGCGCACCGATCTGCATGTCTTATATAGCCCGGTCCAGCGACGTAGCTTCGTGAACAACAAACAAGTCTCACGCCGGGAAACGAAACGTAGATAATTGTATATTTTAAATAGTTTTCATTGGTCATAAAATAAGCAATATAATTGGCTAGGCAAAATATTAATTGTTACCATTGGCAAATCAATAGTAAGCCAGCCATATAAATATAGGCAAGGTTGATGCAAAAGATATTCCATTCCGAATCCCATTCGACAGTACATTCATAAACATAAACAGTAGTTTCAGTTCTCCACCTTAAAGAAAACCACTCGGAGTCTGTTAATAGTGGACAGTTCGTCTCCACTATTACAGTGGTGACCCCGTACGAACACCGAAGGGGAAGATCCCGTACGAACACCGAGGGGGAAGATCCGGTACGAACACCAAGAAGGAACACCCTGCGACGTACCACTACTATTGCACGAACACCGCGAAGGAAACCCGTACGAACACCGAGAAGGAAGACTTCAGTTTATATAAAATCAGTGTAATCAAGCCGTCATTATGGAGCAGGAGGCAAACACATATACATCAAACCCGGTAAAGGAACCAGAAATCGCCGGTATATCTCTATCGTTAAGAATACCACCGTTTTGGAGAGACAAACCACGACTTTGGTTCGTCAGTTTTGAAGCCGCAACGAATGGTTTAAAGAAGAGCCAAGCGCAATTAGCACAGATGGTGATAGCCCAACTTGAGAAACAAGACATCGAACAA